GGTCCAGACCCCACACCTCCGCCCCAGACCCGGGGTCCAGACCCCACACCTCCGCCCCAGACCCGGGGTCCAGACCCCACACCTCCGCCCCAGACCCGGGGTCCAGACCCCACACCTCCGCCCCCAGACCCGGGGTCAGACCCCACACCTCCACCCCCAGGCCCGGGGTCAGACCCCACACCTCCGCCCCCAGGCCCGCGGTCCAGACCCCACACCTCCGCCCCCAGGCCCGCGGTCCAGACCCCACACCTCCGCCCCCAGACCCGGGGTCAGGACCCACACCTCCGCCCCCAGACCCGGGGTCGAAGCCCTGCTCCCATGCNGTCCAGGACCCACACCTCCGCCCCCAGACCCGGGGTCAGGACCCACACCTCCGCCCCCAGACCCGGGGTCGAAGCCCTGCTCCCATGCAGCCCCTTCAAGGGTGACACTGGAAGTTGCATTCTCAGCTCCGCTCTGGAGGTTAGAGGCCTAGAGGACGCGCGGGGATGCAGGTCTGACGGGGACGCTGACCGCCTCTCTCCCTTGCTGGCCCCGCAGGCTCGGGCGCCTCGGACTACACCCAGGGCAACGTCCTCCGCCTGGCGCTGGCGGGCCTGGTCCTCATCTCGCTGGGTGCGCTGGTCGTCTTCGACTGGCACAGCCAGAATCGCGCCTCTGGCAACGTCTGGGCCTGAGCCCGGGCTGGCAGAGAAGACTTCCCAGAGAGGAAGGAGAAGACGCTGGGGTCCCATGGCTGGACCGGCCCTGCCAGCAGCCCCACAGCCCAGCTTCCCGAGTAATAATGACCTTGCACCGCGACCTGGATCATCCTTCTGGGTCATATCTCCAGGACCTCCCAGATCAGTAGAAGGCACTGTCAGTGGTTAAGCCTTCCTAGCCAGTAAGACCTGAGATCGAATCCCAGTGCCGCTACTAACTCCTCATGGGATATTACCGCCCTGGCGGTAAAACGGAATACTTGATTAGGATTACGTGGACAGTGCTCAATAAATGTCAGCTCCTGTATAAGAGCTGCTTCTCTCAGACTCACAGAACCAAACAAAATTCTAGTTGTGATCGTTGTTTTTCACTTGTTCATGCTCCAACTCACCTTTTAATTTTTTCATTATTAATATATATATTTTTTATTTGCCTGCTATGGGTCTTGGTTGTGGCATGTGGGATCTAGTTCCCTGACCAGGGATCGAACCTGGGCCCCTGCATTGGGAGTGTGGAGTCTTAGCCAGGCCACCAGGGAAGTCCCTCCAGCTCACCTTTTTAAACAAGTCACCATCATTCTCTTCATGACATCACTCTTGGTGGCCAAGCAAACCTCTTCCAAAGTCCTGTGCAGATCTTCCCCAGAGGAAGACCAAGTTCAGACCCTGTGGAATTTCTTCTCTGATTACAGAGTCATGGGCTCACAGCTACTTTCCCGAGCCCACCTTGTCAGTAAGAGGCAGGCTCTGTTGCCCAGGCAACAGCCAGTGGAGGTTGTGCAGTCGACCTTTGACCTGGACCCTAAACTCTCCCTTCTGGAAGCCCTGGCTACTCCCATAGTTTTCTCCTGAGTTTATTAATTTAATTCTCATTTTATCTGGCAATCTGATGCCTTTCTCGTACTCATACACACATTTTCCGTTCCTAAGCAAGGCTTAACCACTCACTCATGTGTTTTTGATTTATGCCTAATTTTGGTGGATCACATCCTCTTCTGTTTTTTACTAAAATTCTCAACTTCTCCTTTCTCTCTTCCTACTTTACGGAGGAGAAGATTACTTCCTTTATTTTGTTTGTTTTTGATTTTGGACAGCCACAGCCCCACCACTCACTGGGTGGATAGCTTTGAACAACCTACAGATCCTTCTGAGATTGCACCTGTGAAAGGAGAAACTAAAAACATCTCCCATGTCGATTCTAGAGAGAATTAAAGCAGGGGTCCCGACCCTGTGGGATCTCATGCCTGATGATCTGAGGTGGACCTGATGTAATAATAATAGAAATAAGCGCACAGTAAACGTAATGCACTTGAATCATCCTGCAACCGTCGTACCCTCCCCGGTCTGTGGAAAAACGATCTTCCACGAAATTGATCGCCGGTGCCAAAAACATTGGGGACCGCCAAATTAAAGCAATACCTTGTCCCCAACACGTGAAGAATTGAAACAAAAGAGGACCGGATGGTCACTGCCCTGCCCCCATGTCCTCTGCCTGCTTTTTGTCTGTGGGAAATGTTAGTCAAAGACTAAGTTTAATCAGAGAAATGAGAACGTGTGAAAACAAAGCAAAGCTGTCAAAAGGAGACCAAATAATAATAATAATGTCATTAAGCATAGTCGAGGACACTTAGTTCTTTCTGAAGGGCTGTGGATATTATTCTGAGCCATATCCTGTGAGCTGTCTTACAGATACTGAAACCCCAGGTGGCGAAGTTACCTACATGATGGCCAGACTCCACCCAGAACATGAGCTGCCGCGTGGTCATGGCATGTGGTCAGCTGAGAACTGACCACGAAGAAGTGGGAACAAGTGGACCCTGAAACTGAAGATTCAATTCAGTTCAGCTAAGTCATGTCCGACTCTTTGCGACCCCATGAATCACAGCATACCAGGCCTCCCTGTCCATCACCAACTCCCGGAGTTTACTCAAACTCATGCCCATCGAGTCAGTGATGCCATCCAACCATCTCATCCTCTGTCGCCCCCTTTTCCTCCTGCCCCTCCCAGCATCAGGGTCTTTTCCAATGAGTCAGCTCTTCGCATGNGGGGAGCCTGGTGGGCTGCCGTCTGTGGGGTCGCACAGAGTCGGACACGACTGAAGCGACAGCAGCAGCGCTATTTGGGCACTTTGCCGGTTGGTTCTGACCTGTGTCTGATGTTGATGATCATTTGTGAGCACTGACTGCTATTTGGGCACTTTTGCCCACTGGTTCTGACCCCTGTGTGCCGTTGCAGGCCGTTGGTGAGTGCTGAGTGTCATTCGGGCGTTTTGCCAGTTGGTTCTGACATCTACCGTTGAGGGCCGTTGAGGGGACGGGTTTGTTTGGGACTCTACGGGTCACCCTCGGAGAGAGTTCATGACTGATCTGTCATTTGGCTTGGGAGCGTGTGTTCCATTTGGGTGACTGGTGCTCTTGTTGCCTTATGTAAAATGGGAAATTCAGGTTCAATTCATTAAGAAAAATTTTAGCTGTAAAATTATGACCAAAGAATGATTTTTTTTTTTTTTTGGACAATGTATGGCAGCAGTATTCTTCAGGCTCCAGAGAAGACTGGTTAAGATGAAACTCTTGAAATTCCAAAAAACCAGTTCTTTTTGCATATGCAGTTACAGAAATCTAGTTTGACAAAACTCTTTTATCAGACCCTGGGAAAACAAAAATGTGCCTAGGAGAAAATTTGAAGTTAATGGTTATCATGTCCTTGAAATATAAACACAGTCCACTTTGCCTGAATCTTCAGCCTTGGGTTAAGTATAAAACTTCAATTCAAGGAAAAAGAAAAGATAGAAGCCTTTGAAAACTGAGAATGTAAATTTTACTATTCTATTATCCATAAATTGGTAAGTTTAATTGCAATGCCTAATTCAATAAATGTAAAAAGATGAAGCAAAGAGATCTCTGTTTGTCTGGAGGTTTGTATGTCTCAACATGTGTTTTTTGCCATTAGATAACATTGCTGAGGTTTATTTGTAAAGGGGCTCTATTTAACTGGCCTTAAAAAATATAAGTGCTTACAAATCAAACAAATCTAAATTTACCTACTTTTGTCTTCTCATAAGACCAAGAGGGAACCTAAAGATGTTTGGGTTTATTAAACATGCATGATGTACCATTAAAGAGAAATTATGCTGTGAAAAAATATATACTTTTAGAAGTGTGAAATATGTTCTTTAAGTTTGCAATCAGAAAGTGCTGGCATATCATTTCAATCACTTGGTTTTGTTAAGGTTTCAAGGGTTAAAAATTGTGCTATGTAAAAATGATAAGGGAAACATTTCTATGTGCAAAACAAGTAGAACATGTGTTGTTAGTGAAGAGAAAGGATAAAGAACAGAGGCATTTTTGATGGGAAAAAAATTATAATTATTTTGTCCTACAGTTGTTTGTTTCTGGATGAGAAAATACAGAACAAAGTTGTTTGGATCCAGAAAATGATAAAAGATTTATGAAAAAGGAACTTTGAAAAAAGAATTTTGTATGTTGTCAGGATTAAGATTAGACTGAATTTAATTAGGTTTATGAATGTCATTATTAACAGTAAAATGATACAGACTGAATTTATTTTGTTTTGTCTCTGTTAAGAAAGCAGAGTTCTCCTAGAATATTGATCTGATTTTGATAACAGAGACTGCTAATGGAAAGTCATTATTTTGTTTCTAATCCTACTTCTGACCCCAGTGTTCAGGATAGAACAATTGCCCAATGAAGTTGTCACAGAGTATAACTATTTATGTGTGATGTGTAACACTGCTGGCTTTAAGTTGCCTGCTTAAAGCATATGTACGATGTTTCTGTGACCATTGTGTATAGATGATGAAATGAACAGCCTATAAAACACTTCCCTGTTAGCATACCTCGGAACCTGTTCATGATATCTGATGAAATTTCATGGACAGCTAGGCATTATATAAACAAAAAGTGGGCCTAGCATCAAAGGAGATGGCTGGACCCAGAGCAGGCAGCAAAAAGAGCCACACTCTCAATGTTGGGAAAATATATTGATGATCGATGATTCCTGTGAAAGGAGTCACAGTTAAAAGGGGAAAAGGATGGAAGAAACGTTCACATATTGAGGTATGGGGAAGTCATTCTGGCCTATACATGGTTTAATTTAAACTTTAGGCTAACCAAAACAGCCTGTTGGGGACGCCAGCAGTGAGAATGAGTCCTAACCACTGGACCACTAATGGGGTTCTAGTAGTCTAACTTATCAATTGAATTCTCATTGTCACCGTTAGTGAAATAATTTGACAACAGCCCTTAGTTCTTAGCCAGTGGGCATGTCTACCAGCCAACCGATGCTCGCCGGGAACTTCCAGTATCCTCAAGGGCGAAGTGCTGTCATCTCTTCAGGAATCCTTTAGGCTCATGCCTAAGGCATCCGGAGGGCTACCTATTTGAAGCCTGAAATCTGCCCGAGGCAGGTGCGGATTTTCTGTGAGCCAAGCTCTTGTGCAAGAAATGAGCTGCAATCGGCATCCTCAACACGTTTCCGGAAGGTGTGGGGAGAGGGAACTGAATTGCCCAAGGAAGCTGTCGCTGTCGTCACTCTGGAGTGGGGGGGGGGGTGCTGTGAGGCGCTGGTCACTCCAGCTTTTCCCCTCTCTGTGGTTGCAAAACCGAAGGACCCCTGGACGAGCTGACATGCCATGATGCTCTCCAAACTGCTTCTCCTCCTCTGCCTCAGTAAGTCTCACAGGGCCGTGCGTGGAGAACGCAGAAAATAAGGTAACTGGTGAAAAGTTTCCATCGGGCTTGGAGACAGAAAGGACATCAACTGTAGTTACTGAGTGCATATCATGTGTGGGAAATCGGAGTGCAATATACACCTTCCCCCTAAACCACTGTTTAACAAACTGGGATTGCTCTTGCCTCAACTTTGTTTGGGATGTTTGCTGAATGCCTTAACTTTATAGGCTTTGTGCTTTTCTTTTTTTCTGGCTTTGTGTTTTTCTTAAGACTGACTCACACTGTTTTGCTCACATAAAAACATGTAAGTTAGAGCCTCCATATCAATACCATTAATAAAAGTCCAGTGTCACATAGAAGGTAACTATAAAAAAAAATGCAGCGAGATAATAAACATTAGAGGATGCTAACTGTGTACTGTTCCATGTTAGGTTTCTCAGCCTGAAATACACACTTTCTTTATTAGAAAGGCAATCAGCCATGATCAAGATACATTGGAGGCTAGTTTCTTTTTTTT